TAGTTTACATTTAGACACAATTCTGTAATTAATATTTCAGTGTGTCTGTTCATTTTTACTACAGGTTTAAAGTAGTATATATTTAGACACATTTCTGTAATAAATATTGCTGTGTCTGTTCATTTTTACTACAGGTTTAAAGTAGTATATATATTTAGACACATTTTTGTGATTAATATTTCAGTGTGTCTGTTCATTTTTACTACAGGTTTAAAGTAGTATATATTTAGACACATTTCTGTAATTAATATTTCAGGGTGTCTGTTCATTTTTACTACAGGTTTAAAGTAGTTTATATTTAGACACTCTTCTGCAATTGATATCATGTTAATGTGTGTGTGTGTTCAGTTTTACTGGATGTTTAGTGTGGGTTTTGAAAAGTCAGCGCGATTAGAATCATTTCATATCAGTGTAATAACAGTAAAAGTAAGAAATACATTTATTAGTCTGCACTAACAGTACAATTAAAATTTACTTCAGACGCTAACTTTCAATTTTAATACTTAGCACACTTACCTCATGCACTAACACTAAGCCATACCACATATTTTATACATTAAGTAACGAATTTATACTTACTACGATCAATAATCGCAAACTTACTCCAAGAAATTCGTAAAATAAATGTGTCGATCATACGCGAATGGTGGCTTCCTTTTCATCACCTCACGAACGAACGTCCTCTGCAAATAACCTTTTTTTTTTAGAAAAATATTATTCAAAATCATACACATAATTATGTCACTGACTGAATTAATTTTCCTGTGTATATTACAGTATTACAGTACTACTCCAGTTAAGCAGTTATCAGTCTTGGAAATTTTGAACGGACTTGTTAAATTTAAATTGAGTTATCACTTCAGATGATTTTCGCAAAATTTTACTTGAAAAACTCTGAACGTGTTATTTTTCCACCGTAAAACCCTTACAAGTAAAAAACGTTGGTAATAAAAATCACTTAATGGTTTAATCGTTTGAATAGTTGGTAGCAAATTGAAGAACTTCAAACAACCAACGTTAGACACCACACATAGTTATTTTTATGAAAACTCATATTAATTGGATCAAGAACAGTTGTAAAATAATATTTATACTATAATCTTTACTGAGGTGTAATTAGGATTTTTTTATAATAAAAGGTGCAGATTCTTATTGAAAGAAGAATACAGTTCTATTAAATGATATAACATGGTGTTTTTTTTGGTTTTTTTGCATATGGTTCTTTAAGAATTAGATATGTTCACCCATTGAGCACGTCACCTGCCTAAAAATAAATGTACAGGGAATGGGAAAGCATACTGTACTTCTACTACGTAATTAAAATCTGAGACTAGTATAATCTAACAGCGCCCCCTGTAACTTAAAGCATGGATATAACTGTGATTAAATATTAGCATCCGGAACGTTAATGGGTCGATACTAAAATCTGAGACTAGTATAATCTAACAGCGCCCCCTGTAACTTAAAGCATCGATATAACTGTGATTAAATATTAGCATCCGGAACGTTAAATGGGTCGATACTAAAATCTGAGACTAGTATAATCTAACAGCGCCCCCTGTAACTTAAAGCATCGATATAACTGTGATTAAATATTAGCATCCGGAACGTTAAGTGGGTCGATACTTTATCTAGATTTATAAAATCCGCGACTATTTCTCGGTGGATCAGCAGTAAGCTTACGGATTTACCAACGCTAAAATATGAGGTTCGATTCCTATGGTAAACAGAGCCGAGATATCCTATTCTATAGTTTTGCACTAAAAAGAACCAAAACAAAAAATATATATCTTGGTTGTTCAAAACAACGTCACAAGGTTTATTTTGATCTTGTAATAATTACTAATGTTGATATTCATGTCCGTCAGTATAAAAAAAATCTGCGAATTATTTTAAAGTTAACTATGTATGTATTTATGATGGGCTGTGCGTTGCCATTGTGTTCCGCAGTAGTTCGCCTTCATCAAACCTGTCACAAAATTCCTGTGACACATTACAATACTGTTAACCAACGAAATGATTCTCGTGTGTAAATTGTAAATTTAGAAGCAGAATTTGGTAATATATTTGGAACATTGGATTTGTACTCCCTGCTCACGTTTTAATAAAAAATAAAATATTTTGAGTTTGCACTTAAGAGGTATATAACGTTCAGATGCTGAATGAAAGTGTATTAACAAACCAGTAGCAAGATCATGGACACTGTTAGTGGTAGGGAAAAACGCTATCGCCTCGGGAATCACAACAGGTATATTCAAGAAACAGTTTAAAACTGTTATTGTTGGTTATTAAGTACAAGGCTGCACAAAGAGCTATCTGTGCTCTGCCCACCACGAGTATCAAAACCCGGTCTTTGGCAGTATAAATCCGCAGACAATACCGCTGTGCCACTGGGGGCGTTTAAAACTGAATTTAAAACGAGGCAGAGGTAAACAGTCTCACTCTGAACAAGTGGTCAGTTTTATTTAATGATATGTTGTTTTACTTATTATAATAATCGATCTTACAATTTTGTATATTATCAGGCATATAAAACAACAATGCAAATTATTGGGTTTAAAATAATAAGTTTTTGATACACAAACACAGAAATGATGATGATGATTTTTGTTAGCACAAAGGTATAATAAGCTATCTGTGCTCTGGCCACCGCGTGGGAAATTAAACTTCGGATTTTTTTTAGTATCGTAAGTCTACAAAATTACCGCTGGCTGACCCACCAGGAGCCAGAATACATGAAAATGTTTTTACAAAAGATTTGAACAAAACCGTCAGGAAGTGATAGATATATAAACACAATTAATTTGCATTGCAAAATAATATCAAAGTACAAACTTTAAAGCAGTGATTCTGAACGTGGGGCGCAATTTGAAAATGCTACAATAAGAAAAATTAAACTCCTATTTTTTTGTTAAATTTCTAAATGTTTACATTATATTATTATACTTTTTCAACACCAGATTTGTTTTTATATTAAGGGGGCATCAATTTTTTGAGGTGTCGAGGTGGGGCATAGAGCAAAAAACGCTAAGAACCACTGCTTTAAAGGATGACTTTAACGTGAACTATGATTGCAATTTGTATCATTCCTTTTTTGTTTCAATAAAGTATAACACTGAGACACCACCAATTTTAATAAAATTATAAAGAATACCCAAATAGCTATTATTAAGTATATCTGAACGTACTTCACATAGCAGAAAGAGATGAAAAGTTCCATTTTTTACTATTCAAACCAGTTTCTGATATGTATATATAAATGTTTCTCCAAAGCAATTAAAACTGCGATATTCCAGGTTGGTTACTTTCAGATCAAAGTCACATTGGACTATCTGCTGCGTCGACCGCGGGGGATCGAACCCCGTATTTTAGCGTTGTAAGTCCGTAAACTTATCGCTGTCCCTTCGGGGAACACGATGTTTCAGGTCATTTTCAGACAACGCACGATTGATAACAAACCTTATGTTTGTACTCAGGATTAGCGACCATTAAAATAGTTACCAAATCGGACCATAACTAACCGTATACATTTTATTAAATAAATATAACATTTCAAACATTAAATTATAATTATATAAATTTATAAACAGATTTATTTATAGTGAAATGCCCGAAGATGGCTCGCTCTTGTCAGCCGCAGTTTTTATTGCTTTCCACTGTAAAGCTGCTCACGATATCAAATAAAATGTTGTTAAAATAACGTATGTAAGTAACGTAGTTATATAGCTTCATATCAACACATTGATATGCCAATAGATTTTGCATTTTATATACCAGCTTGTTGATAAAGCTTTAGGAAATAATTGTTTGTTTATAAAGAATGTTATCTACTCCCTTTTCACCATATTGTAAAATGTACAAATACCTGTTCATTCATGCTAAGTTGCCGCTTATTGAAGATTGAGGATCTGCGGTGTTTGAAATCGTTAAGTTGAGATAACAGTGTGATCAGCAAAGTGAAAGTCTCACTACCAGACTTTGGGACACGGTTATACATCAATATACGATGATCCACCTTTTTAATACCTGAAAAAAATAATTAAAGATCAAAACACAATACTTTCACACAAACATCCCCTAATGCGCACTGTTACGTATTAGTTTGTTTGTTTGTTTTTGAATTTCGCGCAAAGCTACACGAGGGCTATCTGCGCTAGCCGTCCCTAATTTAGCAGTGTAAGACTAGAGGGAAGGCAACTAGTCATCACCACCCACCGCCAACTCTTGGGCTACTCTTTTACCAACGAATAGTGGGATTGACCGTCACATTATAACGCCCCCACGGCTGAAAGCGCGAGCATGTTTGGTGGGACGGGGATTCGAACCCGCGACCCTCAGATTGCGAGTCGAGCGCCTTATCCACCTGGCCATGCCGGGCGTTACATATTAGAATTTCGAATAGTCCGAAGCCGAGTTAACTGATACTTTAAATTTAGTAGTTGAATTGTACTTTGGACTTAGTGTTTAAATATATGCCGATATTTTAGTCAATTTACGATATTTGCCAACAAGACTGATATACACAGTCTTGGTTTTTAACACAAATACGTTTTAATATACACACAACAATACAATTTACAGTAACAATTATTACAATTAGTTCTTACAAACAAAGATTTATAAAAAAAAGTTTCATAAACTTATAAACAATATAAAATCTTCTTTCTAGTTTAGAACTTCCTCGATATCTTATCGATGGTTCACGATGAGCGAGTTAATTTCGAGATACGATTCGCCGGAAAGCTAGCTAGCTTTGTCTCCTTGGCCACACACACGCTGTTTTCCACCGTTGAAGATGTTAATGTTTTCGTAAAAATACTAATGTCCGATGAGAATCCATTGAAGTTAAACGATTTGTAACGTTCGAAATTTATAAATACTTCTGATCAAATATCTTAAGTGGTGGACAGAGCACATATAGCCAGCCCATTGTATTGCTTTGTGCTTAGCAAAAACCGATCTTACTGTTGGTATCCAACCCAAATTTTTCGTGTTGTAAGCCCTCAAAGGCAGCTAACAGGGTTTTATCTTCAATTATGAATTTGTTCAAATATTTAAAAAATTAATATAGTGGATAACATATTCATGATTTTTCAAATCATAAAAAACAAGGCACTCAAATGTTCAGATATTGAACTGGGACGCCGCCTACCGCTTTTTTTAGGAAACATTAGAGAATAGTCATTTACTGTGTACTCTCGTATTTTGTCAAAGTTAACTTGAAGATGTATTAATGTACAAAGGAGTGAAAAGACAAATATTAAGTGTGGTTACGGAATTCTGATGTGTGGAAGTTGTAAGCATGCATATATGGCAATACGAAAATTTACACAAAGCGTTGTACAACAGAAATGAATCAATTACTAGGAACACAACCAATAAGCAAAATCTTTAGATGAAAATTCTAGAATTTGATCAGAATGTTAAGACTTCAAGTTAGGAAGTTAATTGTGGTTACTGGTCTGTAAGGTATTATTTGAAAAAAAAACAGCACGAGTATATTTGTTTTTACATCGAAACATTCAGCAAGTAGTGATATTTTTTGGAAAGAGATAAGAGTAATGGTAGACTCATGCTACACGCGCAGAGAAACAGTCTGACCCGTGTTTCGCAAGTGTTGTCCACAAACATTTCAGTTGAATGAAACTGAAATTTGAGAAAAATGAAATTATCTGTAGAAAGTAAAATTCGTATATCCTGTAACAAATGTAAACTTCGTGTACCCAATGTCTTATTTGATTATGTTGTAATATTTTCGATCGGACGGATTAAAATATTTCAAAAGTACACGGTTTTATAAATATATTATAAACATTTTTCAATACAAGGCCACTTATAGTGTATTAAAATACGAACGATGTACGTAGTTGCTCTCTTTTGTGATAAACTTGTATCTGAAGAAGTCAAATAAAAGGGAGGCGAGAAGTTGGAGTTAGTGATTTTCCATGGTTTGAAAAGTTAGGATAGCACCCACGTGCGATTCGATCCATTTCGGCTACTAGTGTGAGTACTCAACACCATAGTCCTGACATCCATTTCTTTCTCACTGAATTCAGGTTGGGTTTTACGTAACAACCAAATGAAAGTGGAGGGAATATGGCGAGGTTTGAAGTTGACTGTGAACTCTCATCACCACAGTAACTACTTTAGAGAGTACTGTTATGGATCCAGGTCAAGCACAAGATCCGAGGATGCAGGTATTAACCGAGCTGTTACGGGCAGTAGGGATTGTATTCTACAGATTGGTTAGGCGTGAACGCACGTAATGATGCCGACACGGAGTTTGACTAACAGTTAATTTTTGTCTTTTCACCCTCTGCTCCTGAGGAAGTTTTAATGCAAAGAGCTGCTAACCGAGCCTGTTTGTATTACGGCCTTAAGGCTACACTTTTAACTGGGATTTTCCGACTTAACGGGCTTTATTTAACACTGCATTTTCAATCCTTACTTTAACTGCTTAAAATTACTAGCCCTTCTGGCTATGCTATTGTAAACTAACCTGTTGTAAATAATTCTGGAAGTGTTGCAAGTTAAACTGTAGCACCTGCAGTAAGCCATGGAAGGTAAAAGATCTTAGACTGACAGAGTAATTGGAAATCACTAATTTGCTATGATTTATGATGAGAAGTGCTTTTGGAAATCACTAATTTGCTATGATTTATGATGAGAAGTGCTTTTTGGAAATCACTAATTTGCTATGATTTATGATGAGAAGTGCTTTTTGGAAATCACTAATTTGCTATGATTTATGATGAGAAGTGCTTTTGGAAATCACTAATTTGCTATGATTTATGATGAGAAGTGCTTTTGGAAATCACTAATTTGCTATGATTTATGATGAGAAGTGTTTTTGGAAATCACTAATTTGCTATGATTTATGATGAGAAGTGCTTTTGCTACTGAAGTGATGAAAGGAAAACGAGGTATAACTCAATTTGGTAAAACAATCTGCTTCTCAAGAGGCACTTAGAGCAACAAGACATTGTGGTAGATTACGTCAATTTGTACCGATGTACGTCAACTTATCCCAGTTTGGCCTACACAGGTGCCTGAGAAATCTGTCATAAAACCATGACTTATTATATTCTCAAGTGGCACTTAGAGCAACAAGACATTGTGGTAGATTACGTCAAATTGTACCGATGTACGTCAACTTATCCCAGTTTGGCCCACACTGGTGCCTGAGAAATCTAGCAACAAGACATTGTGGTAGATTACGTCAAATTGTACCGATGTACGTCAACTTATCCCAGTTTGGCCTACACTGGTGCCCGAGAAATCTGTCATAAAACCATGACTTATTGATCCAGAGACAGTTGTTGCTTGCAGTAATCAGAGACTTTCTTTTTTTTCCGACTAAGATTATTGTCAAAGGATTAATTTTTTGTATTGTAGCCACAGAAAGTGTGTATATATATATATGTACATTTCAGTAGTGTAATTAGTGTTAAAAATTTATTTTATTTTATGTAGTGCGCATATGTATTTTTATGTTTAAGTTCTGTTGTGTGCACACTGTATATCTATCTATCTATCTATCTATATATATATATATATAGCTACTTTCTGTGAGTGTGATTGTGTTTTACTCTGCTTATGTTAAAGATGTACTGATTTTAAAATTAACTT